GTGGGATACAGTATTTGAAAAACGGAATATTCGATAGTTTTACCCAACGTGGGATACAGTATTTGGAAAACGGAATATTCGATAGTTTTACCCAACGTGGGATACAGTATTTGGAAAACGGAATATTCGATACAGTACGTACGTATATGAAAGGAATATCAATTTTTACCCAACGGGGATACAGTATTAGGAAAGCGGAATATTCGATATATGAAAGGAATGGAAATTGATTATGTAATTCTTACACCATACATGAAACTGCTTAAAGCAGAAACCATAGTCGTTATTTTGTTATTTTCTTTATTTTCTTTATTTTCTTTATTTCCTTTATTCACTTTGTTTTCTTGATTTAGTATCACGTGAAAAAATGTATATAAATGTCAAAAATTGTTGTAAGAAAGGAGGAAGAATCGATTTAACATAAAATTCTTTAAATCACTTTACACCTCCGTATAACTCTGTCGGAGCGGAACGCAATCCGGTATTGCTACGCAGACGCAAAACTCCAACAATATTATAAACACACGAGTATATCATTTCAACTACCAAAAGTGTAACCAATGGAGCAGTCTTTAATAACCTATCGTTCAAAAGAAGATATACTTTCTATTGAACACGGCCTTACCAATCCATATGTTAAAAACACTGGTTTAAAGAATGCTGCATTAAATGCCACTGGATATGGCATTATTAAAGCAGTTAGACTTATACCACTTATCGGCGAAACTGCATCAGATATTGCACAGGATATTATGAATGTAGCGAAAAGTGCTAAGCATAACAAAGAAGCATGCAAATATATTTCTGAGTGTGTACAAAGAAGTTTAAACATTATTGCTAACTTTCCATTGCAAGGTGATATTGGAAAATCACAAAAAGACTATCAAAAGGTGTTGATAGAAATTAAGTCGTACGTTGATGAAATTAACAAACCTGGAAAGTTCAGCGCAAGAGTAAAAAAAAGGCTCAAGAGTATTGTCCATGCAAATAATGTATGAATTTTTTTTTATTATTTTATGTTTGACAAAAAATAACTCTGCAACTCTAATTAAAAATAATTAATTAATCAAAGATTCAATCAGTTAATGAAAAATTACTCTTAAAATTGGCGGACGCCACCTTTGATTTTCACAGCACTTTGAAACTTGATCAATACGATAAAATTGGCAGAATTTTAGAAATTACTGATGAAAATAAGGAAAGCATTAATGCCCTTAAAATTATGCTTATAAAAAAAGACGATATCACAAATGAAGAAATCGAGGGTTTGAAAATTAATCCATTAAAAATTAAAAATGAAAACGACGAAAAAGAAGATTTTAATTATTACGATGATGATTATAAAAGAGCCGTAAATAGTATTCGAAAACGAATATATTGTGGGGAGTTTGTAGCAGTGAAGACAGTGAATTATGAAAAAGACCACGATGAGAGAAAAGAACAGAGACAAATACAGAAAATTGCTAAACAAGCAAGAATTCTTAGTTTACTTAGTGCTTGTGAATATATTGAAAAATTGTAAGTATTTTAAACTTTCTTTCCGGCTGGCTTATTATAAATATAGCTAAATCGATTCTATCACATATAGCATAGGGACCTATACCAAAGAATATAATAAAATAAGATATATATTTTTGGTAACTACTTGGATGCAAAATGGAAACCTTCAAGATTATCTGGCCAGTAATATGTCTATTCCATGGGCAACCAAACTAAAAATTGCAGAACAAATAGCAAAGGGGCTCACTTACTGTAATAACGCCGGAGTCTATCATCGAGATGTCAGAAGGTAAATAAAACTTATTATATTTTCTTTCTACACTCATTTCAGCGAGCTAATAGAATTATTTTGTTTTAGCAAAAGTGTGTTACTTGACGAAAATTTAGACGCAAAACTTACCAATTTTGAAAAGAGCAGGAAAATTTCGGGAGAATCATCCGAAATGCCGACTAATAGAATAAGGTTATATTTATTTGAAAATTTAAATAGTTTTGGATTTTTGTTTATAAATTTTTGTAAATTTTAGATGGACGGCACCAGAAAAACTTGTTTGTAAAGATTTAAAGTATAATGATAAATGCGAAATATACAGGTATAGTAAGTCATCGGATTTCATATAGTTAGTCGAAGCTAACAAAATTTATTAAATTTCAGTTTTGCTATACTTCTCTGGGAAATTTCAGCACAACAAATTCCATTTTGTGATATGTCACACCATGATGCAGGTGAAGAAGTAAAAAAAGGAGAACGTCCTAAACCATTTTTATCAGACACACCAGAACAATTTAAAGAGTTGGTCATGCGATCCTGGAACCAAGAACCAATGAAACGTCCGGAAATTGAAGACATAAGAAAGGAACTTACAATAATGAATACACATTACTCTGTTGATCAGGTAATATCACTCCACAAACGACAACGGTTTAAAGAAGCATTCCCGTTATTCCACCAACTAGCTCTAAAGGGAGATTCCTTAGCGTGCTATTACGCAGGTCTTTATCTTTACGAAGGAGGTTATGGCGTTGAAAAAAATGAAATCGAAGCTCTACAGTTATTTTATAAATCGGCCATTAGCAATAATGTTCTAGGCTGGTATATGTACGCTAATGCCTGTCTCTATGGAAACTATTATTCTCGAAAGGAAGGCCTAAAATATTTGAAAAAGTCTGCAGATGAAAACCATCCTGATGCTTTATACATGTTATCTCAGATTTTTTTGAATGGAGAACATGGTTATGAAATCGATAATGATAAATATGAAGGATATTTAACAAAAGCAGCTAACCACGGATCAGAGAAGGCACAAAAAGAACTTGCAACATTAAGAAAAGATAAGATGTCACGGGACATAAAATTTTTGAGGGGACATCTCATATGAAATTATAGATTGTAGTTCAGTAGAAACGATCTTGTAAGAATAAAGGTGCGATCATAGTCACGCGCGAGTTCGCGATCTTCCTTCCCCTTGATCAGCTAAAATAAACATGTATTACTTGAATTTTAATAGTGACATTAGATTTGAGTGTTTTTTTTTTCTAAAAGTTTCGCCAATTTTAAACACAGTACCGCAAAGAATGTAAAAAATCTTAATAAAAAAAATAAAAATCCAAGTGCTAAAAAAAAGGTCATATATTCTAAAAGAAAAAACAAAGCTTCAACCTAATTTACACGCTTTACCCATTTCTGACCCAACCCAAATCACAGTTATGTGAAACCCAGACTATTAAAAATAGACTCCATCAATCGACCATGACAATATTTTTATTATTTTGTTTCTCAAATTTCATGGCACCCTAAAATGTATTCTTTTAATCTTTGCACAAAGTATAATTAAAATAAAGTAGATAAATCTATTTTAAATAATTGAATTAATATGATAAAACATAAAGCGTTACATTTGTATAATTGCTATCTAAAACATATTGTTTTATATATAGTGTAAGAGGTGTTAAAAAATTAAATGGTGTAACACGAAAAAAAGGTAACGCGCCTCACACTGAATTCTGGGTTCCCCACGATATTGGGAAGAAAACAGCGGTATCAAGCACAATGAGCGTGATAGAAACTAGCGTGAGCCTGAAGAAAGGGAACTGTTAGAAGGAAGTCAGATCACGACACAATTGCAACGATTACCACGTGACCGGGTCGTGCAAAGATCGATTATGGCACTATGGGATCGAACAATAATAAGAATAGTGTGAAAATTAAATAACAATTACTTTGTCATGAGAATTTTTATAGCTTTTGCTTAATTTGTATTATTCATTTTTATTATGTAATGAGTGTGCAAGAATGTATAAAAGAAAGAAGAAATTGAATAAAAAAACTAATCAAGTCCAGAAAGTCAAGTTTTTCGGCCAACATCAATTCAGCCTCACCATAAATAAAACACTTACCATCGTTACGCGAATCTGAACTTTCCTTAGCGACAGACTCGCCGATCACAGTTACAATAGATTCGACATATGTCATCCTCACCTTAACTGGGGATTTTGGGGATTTTTCTAACATGTATAAAAGAGAGAAATGTACTAGAGAAACAAGCAACAATAAAACTGACCTTTAAAAATACAACTCAGATCCTTATCTAACACTCTCGACATAGCAACAGACTCGCCGTTACAACCCCCACAATAGCTCGTATTCACTAACCAATTTTTCATGATTTGAATGTGTTATAGCAATATCCACTTAGCTAAAAATTTTAGTATACTATACTTTAGGAGTATAAATATTACTGTGAGAAGTAGAATGGCATTTATTTTAATAAAGCGCGAGAGATACAGGAATGTTCCATGACTAAACTCTAAAATCTCGGATATGAACTAACTCTAAAAAATAAATAAACTATCCTATTTATATGCCTTGTTAACGCGTCCCTACCTATTACATGCTATCCCAATTATTATATCATTTCATCATCATCAACACTATTGTTATGCGACACGCCTCAATGTCGCGTTCTCATCCCTATTGTTCTCACGATAAATAAGGCTCCTTAAAATACTATTTAAGTTTTAAAATTAACCACTATGGAATCAATTAAACTCCTCAAGTTTTTATAATTTTTATCAAACTTTAAAAAAAAAACTTTTTAATAAAATAATTTTTAATAAATATGTATAAATAATAATAAATGTACAGTATATACAGTATACATGTATAATAAAATATTTTTTAAAAATTGAATTAGTAAGATATAAATTTTTTTCTCATTAAAAAAAGAAAAAACTCTTTGCTACATTATCTTGATTTGTATTTTCTGAAAAGTCTATAAATATTTTCTAAAACTAGATAATAATAATTTTTCATTTATTAATTAATCAAAACTATCCATAGCCATTGTAATTTATTATTATTATTATCTTCTTTAAAAGTTAAAAGATTTTAATGTTCAACTAATATTAAATAATAGTTATAATCAAAATTCTATAATTTAGAAAAACAGTAAAATTATATATTGAGTATAACTATACATTAAAACTTTTATATTTGAATTTATAAAAATTCATTTTATAAATTATATGGATTTTTTTTTTGTATATAAATATCATTTCTTTATTTAATTTGTATAGAATTAAATATACATTGTAAAAGAAACAATATCTCTCATGTGTAACAATACAATAAGTTAAATGCTAGCTTGCATATAGTAACTATTTAACTAATATTGAAAAGAAATTTTAAAACAATATATCTTGTCAAGTAGTTCCATACAGCTATAATTATCTACTTAGCATTAAATGAAAAAAAATTGAAATAATTAAATATTAATATAGTAATGCATTTGGAATATATGATTCTATAACTATAATTAATAAATTAATAATAGTTAAAATTTGTGTACTAGTAGAAAAAAAGTAAACCTGTGGGTCTGTAGTGTAGTGGTTAACACTCCACAGGTCAAATTACAAGATACCAGTTCAATCCCATGTGAAGGCGGTTGAATAGAATTAATATGATATCTGGCGCCATAACCTGTAAAAAGCGCCATTTCTCATAGAAAAGCCGTGTCACACGCTGATTCAGCAGGCTTTGAGATTGTGATTTCCAGAAAAGGCGTCGTGGCTCGACGATCGTCCGGTTGGTGGTACGATAATCGCCGGAAATTGTAAGGAGTATGAGGTG